ACTCTTTGCTTCAGCTACAGATAATTCATTGGAAATACCAGTTGCCATTTGTGGATAATCCCTTGTGTTTTTATAAAGGTTGAAATATGTTTTCTAGTTAGCATGTGTTCAACACTACCTTTGTTTTGCACAGTAAAATGAAAAAGACATGGCAACAATATAAACTGGGAGATTGACAGCATGTATAATCTATTTTTCCTGAAAAGATTATTAGGATTTGATTGCAATGCCTTCTTTTCACAATGGTTACTGCAAGTCTGCTGCAGTTTTTAGGTATCTTTTTGTGGTTTGTGCTTTAAAGAAAACCCATCAACGTGAAAAGTTTGAAAATCATTTTGGCTGGTGGTAGGTATGGCCCTATTTCAGCCGAGAACGAACTGCTGCTGAATTTTTAATGCATTACAATGCTTGTGAGAACGGACTTGGGGGAAGTTTGAGCTAGCTACTCCTAATGCTCTAACCCACGCACTTTTCAAAGAAACTGATGGTTTTCAAGTTAAGGCACAAATGAAAAGTTAAGGCATTGATTTGCTGAAGTAGTTAATAGGGTTGCAGTTGTTTCATTCTGCTAAAGAACTGCAATCCTGGTTTTGTTCTTTGTTTTAGGAAATGTAATAAAAAGCTGTCTTCATGCCTTTTTTTTTTTTAATGCACCATCTTACTACGTTAAAGTGTCTGGTTTGAAATGTGCTGTGGTGATACGGGGGGAGTAGGAGGAAACTGTTCTTTAGCCACTCTCAGCCAGATTGTATTGATGCCTCGTTGTCACTGCTGCTAGCAGCAGCAGTTACTCTGCTAAATGCAAGTCAGGCACTGGAAAAAAAATCTTCCATGTTGTTTCAGGTCGCATTCAAGAAGTTCTTCCAGTTCCAGATCAAGATCTCGTTCCAGCTCGAGAGAACACTCTAGATCTCGTGGGTCGAAATCAAGGTGAATGAGGTAGCACTCTCTCCTTGCAGAGAGAAAAAAGGGCAGAAGAACCAACCGCTTGTTGATTTCATCGTAAAGTTATGCCGGTCAAAAAAAAACATTCTCTCATTTTGATCTTGGAAGTCAGAATTCCCAGGGTCTCTGCATCAGGTTGTTACCACTCCAGATGTGTTTCTTGGGAATGTGAGGTTTTGGTTGAAGAGTTTAAGTCTGGTCTCAGCTAGACGACCGGACGCCACAGATGGTCACTTGGAAGGAAGAAGAATTTGAATGCACGTTTTCTTGCTTCAGTCATTTTTGCTGTTACCACTTTGGCTGCTTGATGTGGAAGAACATTAGAAAATACGCGCTACTTGGGGGTTTGTGTTCGAGTGATAACTCGTTTAACGCATCCATCTTCCACTAGATAGTGCTGCCGTTATCTTTATGAATGGGGGGATGTGTAGAAATGCTGATAGTAAGTCCTGCGAGAAGCTGAGAGGGGTTTGAGCTAGCTGGCGTCTGCGTAGCAGTTGCTGAACTGCGTGGGGAGGAGGCACCGAAGCGTACAAGATCCTTGGGCGTCCCGTTGGCAGGGCTTTCCCTTTGCGATGGAGTCAAGAGCTGTCCCGTCTCTGTGCATGCAGTCTTAAAACCATGACTAAGGAAGTTGGAGTTGGGAAGAATGATCACGCGTGGTGCCACTGCCGGTTGGTGGCAGGAACGTGCTGTGGTTTGTCACATGAGGGTCAGCGCGGGGAGGAGTCTGTGCTTACAGGAAGAGAGCAAGGGTGTCAGTGCCCCCAGCAGACGCCGGGGTGACTCCTCGGCTCCGCGCAGCATCCGCCGAATGTCCTGGGTGTGTTAGCTTGGGTGAAATAGGGCTGCCTTGTTACAGCGAGAACCCTGAAAATATTTTCCCCACAGCATAGTGTTGGGGTTGGTTTAAATGTTTTCTCCAGCTTACTGAAAAAAACTGATAAGGGTGTCCATATAATTTTGGAATTACAGTTTGGGACTTTCTGGCTTCATTACTTTTTCCACAAATGGTTTGTCGGGGTTTTTTTTCCCTTGGGTTTTTTAGATACTAAAGTTATTTTTAAGTGCTTGTACGTGAAGCGGGTTCTTTATTTTTAATGCCAAAATGACTGTATTCTAAGAGCTTTTTTAAATATTTTGGTTGTGGAAGGTCTTACTCTCTATCCAAATTTATTTGGAGATTTGTAAATACACCTTCTGAGGGTTTTGCCTATTTTAGGAAGGTGAACATTACATAGGAAATTTCCAACATGAAATAATAGTGAATCAAAACACTGTTAAATCAGCATTACATCTGTGGTTTTCAAGCTGTTTTACCCTGTGAATTGAACTGCTGAGGAAGGTCCTTTCACGGGCTCCTTCCCGTCCCAGTCTCCCATCGCTGCCTTGTCAGAATGCGTCGTTCTGGCAAGTGCTGGAGGGGGGTGTCCAAACTGTTGGTGGTCTGTGTACCAAGAAATGCTATTTAGCCAAACTTAACTAAGAAAAATGCTGCAGCAGTAGGAGTCCTTATTGGCAGATAACTCAGGAGTAAGTATTAAAGCATCCACTAGTTTATTTGACCAAACACTGATGTGAATAGGGTAGTGAGTGTTCATGAAAACTGTCTGTTCTTTCTTTGTTCTCTCTATATGATACCAGAATTAAATCTGATTTATTTCTTAATCAATAAAGATCCAGCTCCAGGTCCTACAGGGGTTCTTCCACCCCGAGAAAAAGATCTTACTCGAGCTCTCGTTCATCATCTTCCCCCGAGAGAAGCAAGAAGCGAAGTCGTTCTAGATCTTCTTCATCTGGTGATCGCAAAAAAAGACGATCGAGATCACGGTCACCCGAAAGGTTTGGGTTTATGTAGAATAAGAATGGGTGTATTTAAATGTGTGATTTTTTTTTTTTTTTCTGAAGGACTGAGATTCACTGGGAAGGAATTGATTCTGATCAGTTATTCTGATAGTTTTCTCACTTCCCCTACTCTTACTTCCTATTAAAACCTCTGTAATTGCTCCCCCCACCCACCCTGAAACTTCCTCCTGCTAGCATGTTCCATAGAAAGACCTGGGTCACCATTCTTTCAGTGTGTGGAAGCATTAACGTGTGCATTATTGATTTATTTTCATAAGTAAATCTTGCATTTAGAGATTGTATTCTATTTTCAGTATTAAACTTATATTTTTAGTATTAAGTTCATGAGCTTAAAGTGGTTTAAAGCTATTTCTATATCCTTGTAAGGCCCCTATCAGATATACTTGGCTTCCAGCTATTGTAGGATACAGACTGCTCAAAGTGGATGCTAAAATTAATTTCAACTTATTTCTTTGCATGCTTTCTCCATTTGTATCTTGCAGACGCCGCAGATCATCATCTGGATCTTCCCATTCTGGTTCCCGTACAAGTTCTAAAAAGAAATAATGTATCCAAGCTCGCATTTAAAAAAACAAAACAAAAACAAATCCACAAAAAAACCCAAACAAACAAAAAAAGGCAAAACAAAAAAACAGCCAGTGCATGAGACATTTTTAAGAAGTTGGTGTCTTACTTGGTCAGAAGTGCTAAATCTGCTAGTAGAGGTGCATGTCTGTCCTTGCTTTCTGGAAAACTGCAGCTTTGTTCATTCATGAAACCAAAAGTGAGGCAGCATTTTAAGCCATAAACTCCTCAGAGGAGGTGTGAAGTTTTGTTATTTGAGTAAGGGGTGAGTTTTATTATTTTTAAAGACTCGGTTGCTCAGTTCCTGGCTCTTGTACACGTATGAGCAGGCACAGGTTGGGTATGTTCTACTGCAGCTCTGCTCTTCATCTGACAGTTATGGAAAAGGTGTCTGAGGAATATAGGAAGAACCCATAAGCTTTCCGCATCCGCCCCCGGAGCGTGTTGGCTGTAGCTCCTATGGGACCACAAGAGATTGGCTGTAGGGCTGGGCTTACCCGTTGGGTGACAGTAGGGAGTACGTAGCTCTGGTTTTTATTTTTGTGTCGAAGTAAAGGTGTAGATGGATGCCCCTCACTCTTGAACCCTGCTCAGTGCAGAAGAGCTATGAAACACCCAGTCCCTCCTGCAAATCTGTAGAGGGTGAATTGGCCTTGGCTCCTTCGAAGCGAGGGCGTTTGGCGTGTTGGGCACTGGCCTAGTCGCGCGGCTGCCGGCGCCTGGCGCTGTAGAACCCGTCAGCCAAGTGCCCTTTCTGCGGTGGTACCGGCCACGGTCCTTTCACGTGCGTGGACCCCGGGCACTGCGATCCGTCCTTACTAAAGGATCGTGGGGGAACTCTTCTCAAGATGGAGTATGGAATCAAGTGAAGCTTCTGCAGGCCGCCTGTAAAATTCATTTGGGGCTGGCTAAAATTTTCAAGGTATCGGAATTTTATTTATATTTAAAAATTAATAAGTGTGTAGAAAGTTCTGACAAATATGTTCTTCAACAGTCATTCTTTTTCCCCTTATACATAATTTATGGCTTAAAATGCTTTATTGACTCTATTATCACACTAAAACTCGATCTCTTGAGCTCCGTTTGGTTACGAAAGGTTTAGGTATCTCCAGTGCCATCACAAGGTAAGTATGTGAAGGAAAATTCTTCTTTTTAAGCAAGCAAACAGCAGTGTATCTGTCTTGATTTCAGTAGTAAAACTTCCAAACCTGTATTTGACCGCTGCTTTTGGGTTTTGTTTTTTTGTTTGTTGTTTTTTTTTTTAATCTGTACAAAAACAAACGGAGCAAAATTTAAAAGCTACATTCTGCTTTCTTTTTTTTTTTTTAAGACAGTTTTTTCAGACTGGTACCTGAACAAATTGTTTTTGGTGTAGAAATATTTTGATAATCTTTTTGCAGTAAAAAAAAATAACGCTCTGCAGTTTCTTCTTTAATGCTTTATTTTATATCTAATTTCAGTGCTAGGTGTGTGTAGGTCACACAAGAGCAGGTTAGTCTTGTAACTGTGCCTCTGACGACTTCCAAGTCCAACTACGGAATTGTAAAAAATCAGATCTGATAGATGCTGTGTTGTTAGCCTTTGGGTTTTTTCTTGTGCTTTGTATTAAAACTGTTGCTGTACCTAACAGACTAAAAGTTTTTAAACTTAGTAAGCGATAGGCTACAGACAAAGCAAAAATTATTTGGCTTAGAGAAAATGTAAGGCAAAACGATGATGTAGACAAGTGTAAATAAAACCTGTGAGCCAACTGTGCAGTGAGTGCATTCTCTTGGGAACACGAGGAGATCTTTCTGTATAACCTACGCTTGTGGATTACGGTGGGGTTCTCCGTAGGGGCAGCGCGTGCGCTTACCCGGCCACGCGGGTCATAAATGTTCGGGTTGGTTCAGTTCTTTGGGGACTGAAAATATTTGGGGGGAGGTTTAAATGGCAGCACATTTCAAACTCTACACAATTTCAAGGTATTTTCTTCTGTAAGTGTTCAGTATTTTCTTTCTTTTTTGGATGAAGCAGTATGTTTAATTAGATTGCTGCTAATTAAGAAAGGCAGCGACTGTGGCCGTGTTGGCATCCCTGCTACAAATGATACAAAATACCTCTTTTTTCTTTTTTTTTTTTCTTTCTTTAATCATTGAATCAGCAAATAAATTGGAACCAAGCACGGCCACCTCTGATAAGAAACAGCCAGATTAAGCCCAGGAGTAAAAGTTTCTGGGGGCTGAGGGGGGAATTATCCAGTGGCCTAGCAGTAAGTTTTTGTAGGAAATACATCCCTTGCCCTCAGTTCAGCTGTGGGGTCAGATAAATTGCTGCCTGTAGGCCTGAGCGAGTATTTCTGTGCCGCTTTATCAAAGATCAGCGAGGTTTGTCAGGGCCAAGGAGGAAGCTTTGACGAGGGTAAGTTCGGGGCTGATGTCCTTTCCTAAGAAAAATGGCACGCAGTTGTGAGAAGGAACGGTGGGTTTGTGTCAGCGTTCTTCTCTAGTAGGTGGAAAAGAGTGATTCTAAAAGCAGGCTGGCCTGAAATTTTGTGTAAGTGCCAACAGTGAAATTTGCTGCTGAAAAAATGTGGGGTTTTTTTTCTTTAGATGGATAATTAATAAAAAGTATTAAAATGCACAAGTTGGTACATCTTAAGGTACCTGTAACAGTACAGTTACGGCGACAGCTTTGAGCCAAGTTCTGCACAATTTACCAACTTTACCTGTCTTCCCATTATCCAAACGAGCAGTATTTATTGGAAAAATGAGGTTTCTTACACATATATTTTAAAAAAAAAAAAAAGCCTGTAGAGTGGTTCGTACTTGGGTTGGAAAATGGGACTGTTCCCTTGGTGCTTTCTCATCATCCGTGATGGACGCTGTCCGGAAACAGAGCTACCAGGGAGCATTCCCGTTGTCCAACTGCCGGCGCAAAGGCCGAGCGCGGTGCCAGATGGGCGCAAAACCCTCCCGGGGCGGAGGAGGCACACAGAAGGCGTGTTGAGGAATTTGCAGAAGGCACTGAATCGACGAACCAATCTCAATTTCAATTAGAAAAAAGTAAAGAGTGGGTGGGGGCAGGAAGGATGTTCTCCCCTTGCCCTCTTCCAGACTTTCTCCTGGAAGCTGCGTACATCCGCGTTCAGTGTGAATATTCCCGGCACAGGACAGACTGTGCGAATGGCATCTGCGAGACTGAAGCCTAGATTCCTTCCCTTCAGGACAGACTCTTGTCCCGTGTTCTAGAAAGCAGAGAATTAACAAAGTGTAAAGCAACCGGGAACTTCTAATCCAGTTCTTCGGAGAAACGGGGCTCTTCTGGTGTGTGGTGTAGGTACCGCAGGCTGGGTCATACGGAGTCAGACCTGAGCTGGGCAGTATTTTAAACTGGGCTTTGCTAACAGCTCTTTTAACCCATAAAACACCGCTTCTGAAAACTCTGCTTTCGCGTGAAAAGATGAGTTAAACCTCAGCACCTCCCACGCCCCCTCGCAGGTTCCTGCGCTGTGGATGTTCCATCCGCCTCGGCGCTTCGGGGTTAATGCAGGATCTTGGTCGGGTGGAAGAGGAAAAGCCAGATCAGCATGATCTGTTCCCGCTTACCAGAGACAGAAGAGTGTTACGGGGGTTTATGTTCTGCTTCCACCCCCGATAAATAGCTTTTTCTGGTGCATCTCTGCGGCCCTGGGGTAACAGGAGCAATTACGGCGCATTGTACACGATACAATCGTTTAGAGTCTTGGAAGCAGGTTTACCACAACGCTAACGGGAAATTGAAATATTCCAGGGGAAATTGGGATTATGGACCATACAGAGTAATTCAGGAATGAGAGGAAAAGAGTGGGAAGGGTTAAAGGAATTTAGCGCTGATGTGAGGAGGAAGGCCAGAGCGGTGCTGGCGGCAGCAGCCAGCGCTGGTCCAGACTGGGCAATGGCATCTCTTGCTCCCCAGACAATTCCGACTCTGGCCTCCGTCGGGGAGAAAGGAAATAGCATTTTTTGTGACCTGCAATCGAGTTACTTGAAATTAAGCAGGTTTGACCCCGATGGCAAAGAGCCTCACTGGTGACCCGTTAGGGAAACGTCACCTACCCCCTGAGCCGAGGTGATTCCCTAAATCTGGATTCCAGGTTTGTCGCTGCAAGGGGAAAAAGCTACTGGTGGCTCAGGAAGTTCCAGGCACTGCGCTGGGAGCGTTGACTTCACCTGCCAAGGGACGAGAACCTGGAGCAGAGGCTGCTGCCGGCGTTGAGAGCGGAACACGCGGCGGGATGGAAAAGATGCGGCCGAGATGCAAACCCCGGGGGTTGCCGGGACCCCGGGTCTGTGCCAGGAGCAAGGTTCCCCGACCCCGCGGACATGAACCCGGCATCCAGCAGCCGTGCTTCGCTGCCTTTGGGGTCCGGTGCTCTCTCACCTAACGATTCATTTATTCGTGGCTCATCAAGCTGGTTACGGCCCGGGTAAATGGCTTCGCTGCGCCTGACCTGTGCGGCACGACCGAACCCTGCGAGTGACAGAGCGGGGGGAGACAGGGAAAAAAGCAACCCCCCG